TTCAATAGTTCACGAGTTAGGATCAGTTCAAAATGAATATTATGTAGCAAACATTAGTAGAGTGATAAATTTGACAGTTGTTTGCCAGAAATGTAAATCATGGGAAATTTAGTTTCTCTAACTTATAAAATGTAGTTACTTGGTTTCCAGTACAAGTAGTCTAACACAAAAAACATCTCACTGCAATTAATATATGCTCAAAGAATCGTCTTTAATTGCTTTTTTACTAGCTCCACTCACGGTAATCATATAAAGGTTTTGAGGAAAGTACTACAAAGTACGGAAAGTACTGCGGTTACTTGATATGTGAAGCATTTTTAGCTTGATTCTTTGTTTGTCTTGTCACTTTCAAAGTCATTAGTATTTATACTTTTCGTTTGCCATTACTTTCGTTTCAAGAGGTGTACTGTTCTCTTTAATTATTTATTTTGTGTTTTTGTCTACGATATTTTCTAATTCATGGGATTCTTAAAAATTTTATTTTCTGTGAAGTACACGTTGTAACCTTACTTGTAGTGTAAAAACAATCAATACGAAGTAAAGTGGTGAATATTTGGCGTCAACAGACAGTAATATCTGGTAAACTCATATTTCAGAAGAAATTTAAAAGCCAGTATGCAACTGTAGCTTGTATTTCCAAGGAGTGAAATATTTCTAAAGTGTTGGAAAGTTAATTTCATCAAAGATGAAATTGTATTCACTGAATTCTTGCTTTTTACTGAATCTTTTATTGTTATGCCTGATAACATGGAAGTCTTATTTACTTAGTGAATTTCGCGAATTTCAGATGTAAAATTTTACATTAAATTTCGTCTAATACTTTTTAAATGAATAACTACCTGTTTAATAAAAAAACAATCCCTAGTACAGCGTTATAAGCAAAATAAAAACGGAACAGAAACTTTCCTACTTTAAAACAATAACCGTCATTGCTGTAAATGCAAACACCATCGACTGTTATTTCCTATCTTCATTCTATTCACAATATGTATTGATTCCTTTGGAAGGTAATTAGCATTAACTAAAATTACTATGAGGTGGATGTTCACGTTCTTGTTTGAATTTAATGCAATTAATAGCTGCAGTAAATAGTTTTCGATTTAATGAGTCAATGGTTAATCAGCTGGGTGACATATGTTTTGATCTTTAGGAGAACTTAATAATATATACACTGGTGAATCACAAATAGAAACAAAGATCAGAGAAAAACAAAACTCATAAATGAACCGTCAGCGAAAAAAATGTTTACATTAGGAAACAAAATAGAACTTGAGTACTATGGCAGAATATAATTCCCTATTAGATATATGTTTATCTGATATAACTTACAGTGATACAGTATCAATAACTAACTGGATTACTTTTCAAGCAGAATTTATGGATTATGGAATAAAAATAGAAAGAATGTCCTGCTAGTGTAATGCGACTATTAGACACTCCATTATTATTCTGATGCAGCAGTATCTTTGTGAAACAGTTTATAAGATTCAGATCCCTGAATTATTTTTCGAAAAATCATCTTATTTAAATGTAAAATACTAGAAACTCAAAAGTAAGTAGATGTTTACAATACTCTTTTTGTTTTACTAAAGTCAACACGTTATTGCTCAGAGTAGTGAATTTTCTTGTAAGTGGTTGAATCTTCATCAATTTAATAAATTTTCAAATATTGGTTTTGTAGGGATTTTGTTTGATTGCATGGAGGATTTAATCATGAGCTGACATCAGTTAGAGAACCACTGGAAAACCTGGGAAGCTGTGACCAGTAGGGTAAAGCAGGTTGAAGATGAGGCAGTAACTCATCGAAGAAGACATTGCGAAGTGGTCGCGCTATGTCGTGAACTGGAAGAAGTTAGAATTCAAGGACCATTGGATCGGGTCCCATTGGCTCAATGGTCTACGAGCTCACCTTGTAACCTAAAGGTCCTGGGTTTGAACCTCCTGTTGATGGGTGCGTACTGATGAAGAGTCCCAAACTGAGACGAAACAGCTGTCCAGTACTCCCAGGTTTTCCAGTGGTTCTCTAACTGATGTCAGCCCATGATTAAATCCTCCATGCAATTTAATAAATGTTGAGAATTACTTAATAGAGAATTTTTAATATTTCACTGACGTATTTATGTGTCACAGATCCAAAACAATTATGGAGCAACATAAACGGAACCATCGGTGAATTGGTCTTAGGAATGTAAAAATCCGATTGAGAAAAATGAGAAAGACCATCGCTTACACTTCATTTATTATTAGATGATGTATTTATAACGATATCTTTATGGTCATCAAATTTCCCCGATTGCCTGAATAAACTTATTAGTTTATTCAAATTTGAGGTAGAATATATATGAACTAACTTAACAGTTTATAGACTAGATATTCGTAAAGTCCGAATGTCTGAGTTAGACTCACTTGATTTTGCCTCACTTTATATCTGGAATTCAATCTTCAACTGTGCAAAGATGTATACTTAAACTGTTTTGCAAGGATTAGCATTTTGTGAATTGAAGCATTTCAAACTACTTGAAAAACAATGATGTTATTGCATCCAGTATGTAGTAGTTAGACTTTGATCTTATGTAAGCGACTAATTTAGCAACAAAAGAGGATACTTTTAACATTACTGAAGACGACCGAAGTAGGTAAAAGAAGTAAACCAAATGAATTTATTCTCAAGAAGAATTCTTTCAGCCAACTATTGAGTAGGCTGTAATGAATAGTCATCTCAGAAGCAGCAATTATTTCTCATACTTATAAAAGCCAGGTAAAACCCATTAGCTAAATAAACTTACCTCAGACTGTGCGTCATATATAATAATTTTATGTTTCTGTAACGAATAGTAATAATAATACGAGAAATATTTTCTAGGATTTAAAGCTGATGATAGTGATAGCTAAGCATGAAAAGAGAAAGAACAAATTTCACAAGGTAGAAAGAAGGTTTGTCTAGTTTTTTTTTAATGACAATCCTTTAGAAAGAAAAAACGAAGAATTTTTCACAAAAAATGCCAACTAATTTGAAAATGACTTCCGTTTGCATTGACTCTCCATTAATAGAAATCATTAAGTTTTGTGTCTATTCAGAAGAAATCTAGCCTATACTATGATAAAGCAAGTTAAGAGAATTTATTACTTGTGTGTGTGTGTGTTTAAAAACTTATTAACATACTTCCAGTAAATGCTGCTCAACTTTGAGAAAAACGGATAGGGTAAAAAAAGACTGTAGAGTAGAATGGCCATTTAAGCTGTGCTTTTTTTATGGTAGTGAGTGGTTAACTGATGCAATGTATTGACTCTTGTACAAAAAGAAGTACATAGTTGCATGTAGTGTGGCAGGAGTTTATTAGTAGGATGATGGTGGATGTTAATCGAATAATTAAACGACAACATGAATGTGATTCAGTCTGATGGGTTCGCTTTAATTTCCTCGTGATAATTTTATCACACATCTCTAAAACTTCCCTAAAACAGAAACAGCTATCCAGTACTCCTTGGTTCTTTCCTACTGCTATTGATCCATGGAAAAGTTGATGTTATAGAGCGAAGGAATCCAGTCACTTAGTACAAAAAAATTCTAACATTTTTTGTACCGAAAATGAGGCACAACTTGTGGATTGCGTAGCTGTTCTTTAAGTTCCATTTGTAGTGACCTAAAGACAATACAGTACTTAAAACGCCAAAACGCAGTCTTGATAAACTGAACACAGTACCTAATGTTCATCTTCATTACTGATAAGATTTTATTTTGTTAGATCACACAGTATTACATAGGAATACTAACTGATGACGTTTTGAGTACAAATTATTGCTTTTACGAGTTGATCACGGATTGATATCAGTTGGAGAACCATTGAAAACCAGGTAGTACTCGACAGCTGTTTCATCCTAGTTTGGGAATTATTGGCAGTGTGCACCTACTGAGGTTTGAACCGAACTGGTAGAAGTTAGGATTCATGGGCCATTGAATCGGGTCCCAGAGGCTGAATGGTATACGAGCACGCCTTATAACCGAAGATTCTGGGTTGGAACCCCAGTGGGTGAGTACTGTTGATGATTCTCAAACTAGGATGAGACAACTGTCCAGTACTCCCTGTGGCTGGTTTTCAATGGTTCTCTAACCAATATCAATCCGTGGGCAAACTCGTATAAACAATCGGTTATTGTTCTTTCACTATACATTATTTATAAGTAAAGCTGAACTATGTATTTGAAGACAGTAGATTTGAGTTCAATATTATTATAAGATTAAGACCAACAAAATTGGGAATTCATAAACCTATATGTTAATCTTTTTTAATAATTACAGAAAACAATCAATACGCCTTCATAATATGGGCGAAACACTAATAATCTAATCTATGTCTAAGTTGCAGTGCTACAAACAACTGACGAATTTTTGAATAAATCTTTTGGTTACTTATTTGTTGTATGGTAGATATCAAACTGTTTCCGTCTACAGGTGACTTATTTAGTCAACTTTGCTGTTAACTGAATGCTCCGGAAGTTAACTTCGCTACGGTGATATCAGTAAAAGTTTCCCTCTTGTGAGGTATGTTGAACACCTAAATATCTTACCATATGAATATAAAATACAGAGAACATTATGGGAATATTCACACACTATCGCTTTGAAACTATTTAATTCCTATATGGTAGAACTGTCTTCTATTTCTCACTGTAAGGGGTTTATAAGTTTACTAGGCTGACTTTTTCCCACCAGTCATAGAGTAAATAAACAATCAATATTGTAGGCATTTCTGTTTAATTCTGAAAAATATTTCATTGTTTTTACACTATTAATTTTTCAGGAGTGTTGCTTCTTCCTTTCTGATTGAAGAATTAGCACTTTATGCATTTATTCCCCTTGATGATGTTCTTGCTTTATTCAAATTACCAACTTTACAAAACACTTCTCTGTTAACAGTAGCCCGAAATAGAAACATTGCTACGATGTGTTGCTGTAATAAACCTGCTAATTCACTATTTATTTTTTTTTTTATTTACAGCTTGATTCCACACTGTATTTTCGGTACAAGTATGGCATTTTCAGCATGGATATCGGTAGCCCAAATTTCGCAGGCCGACCATAGATATTTCGAACAATTAGTCCCTTTTAATAATTTGGATAGTGTTATCAGAAGGCGGAGATTTTCTGAAAAATGTGATGTATTTGCGCTATACATTTAGAACAATCTGATCACACATTTACTTGTCAAGTCGATATATATGGAAAAAATTGAGAGCAATTAAATTGAACAAAGTGAGAAAAAAAGGATTTAAGAATGATTAACGCAACGTTTGGTAATCCAATCAAATAAGGATTGCCAAGGTAGGTTAAGAGTATTATTAAACTGTTTTCGAATACACAGGGGAGGGGGGCTTAAGTTTATGAAAAGCTATTGCCTCAGCGTATTTCAGTAAGCACCCTTGACCGTTTTTATAGGTGACGTTAAGGCTGAGTTAACATCAATCTTATGGTTCATCTTGATTAGGTGTTTAGCTATAGACGAAGTTAGCAGCCTTACACCTGCGTCTATTGGTTTTCCACAATTTATCTGTTTTTCTAACCATTTCGGGGTACGCTCTCCGACCCTCACATGCAAAGCACGATTACTCCTCCCTATGTATGTGTGTCCACACACACACCCACACGAAAATTGGTAAATATTGTGGGATGTAGTATAATCACTTGTGCAATTTTGAGGTTTGCAGTGGAGCATATTTCTGGCTTTTTCGATAATTACAAGCTGGGCTGCATAGATGGTTCTACGGATGACCGAATTCAACGTTTGTCTCAAAATCCTACTGTTTATTTTCCCGTTATATGGTAATTCGATGAAGAAATTTTTTTCTTAGGGACGGTATAGATTGTAGGTTTAAAAACTAATTGACTTCTACACCTGTTTAAAAATTTTAAAAGGATATCCGTTTTCAAACAAGAGTATCCATCAATATTCTAGTTTCTTTCTCTAAAACATCAGCTATGCAAATACGTTAAATCTTCTTAAATAGACATTTCACCAAACCTCTCTAATACTGTAATGGGCAGAAACTGAAAATTAAGGTGTTGCGCTGTCCAATTAGGCTTTCTGTAGATTGATCGTCTTATTGAATCATCATCTCTTCGACTCAGAATTACGTCTAAGAATCCAAGCTGGTTGCAGCTTTCTTTCTCGCATGTAAGACTAATATGATTCTGTACAGAGTTAAGTCATCTAATAGACGACTCGCATCTTCACGATCGTCACATATCAAAATGATATCATCTACATATTTCCTCAAGAAGGGCAATTTAGAAATTTAATCAAGAGACAAGTTCTCAAAATAAGACATGTAAACGTTTTAATGGACTCCACATAGCAACACCATCCACTTGTCGAGAATGTTCACCTTCAAACATGAAATGGACGTTATCACTACATAATAGTAATAAGTCTTTCGAATAAGTTAAAGGAAAAGGGAATGAAAAACAACTAGAGGATATAGAGTCACAAAGAATATCAACAGTCTTAACCAATGGTACATTAGTAGACAAAGAATTAACACCAAATAAATACATTCCCCTATCTTTTATGTTCATATCTGCAAGACAGTCAACAAGTTCAAATGTATCTTTCATAATTCATCTTACATAATTCATTGCGTACTGGACTTAAAATATCAGCCAACCATTTTACTAATTTATGTGTAGGAGAGTGACACGTTGATAGAATTGGACGTAATGAATTATCAACCATATGAATCTTGGGTAATCCATAAAGGTTTGGAAAGTCAGATCCCATAGGTTTCAATGAATTAAACTCCTGTTTATCGATAACATCTATACTTATAGCAAACTTACGTACCGGGTTCTAAACGAGACCCAAGCTAATGCACTGACACGTTCTAGCAGGTATCCTCTTGGTTGAAAAACTTGTTCATGGACTCACTAATTTATCGTTTGCAAAACGAGGGTGCTAAATATCAACGGGGGATTTTTCTAATATTAATTTCAAAATCTGGTGTATTTGATTTGTTACACGATTTCAACCTGAAATACAATTAAGATAGAATCATCAGTTTTAATTTTATCTCATTTCATTTTTATTCTGCGGCAATGAATCGATATATGTGTATGAATTTAATCTCATACCCTGCAACACTTTGCAGAGTTTGTAAAAGGATTTTAACTTTATGAAACATTGCGATATACTCTTGTGTCATTTTTGAGTAGTTAATATTATTTAACAAATATGGAAGATGTGAAGGCCCAAATACCAAACAAATCACAGTCGAAAAAAAGCCTGTCTTCATCCAACTAGATTTTAAAGTTAAAGACATTGCAGAAATGGCCAACAGAAGACTGAGGACGTCACTAGCAAGAGCCTATCTGCAGCTAAGTTGGTTCCCGTCCATCGAACAACATGCTCTTTGGTGCAGCCAAAAATCGATAGATACCCTTCTCATGTTAACTCCAACTGTGTATACAAATTTACGTGTATCTGCGGGAGCAGTTACATTGGGAGAACAGAAAGAAGGGCACACCTCCGATTTTCTGAACATGTGCCGAAAAGCCTACGTCTCAAGGAACAAACTCTTATAGCAGCGCTGTTACCAGACATCTCCTCGACACGGGTCATGAGGTGGAAATCGAGAAATCCTTCGAAATTATCAAAGACAAAGGAGCTCGATTCTCCTCAAGTTTGCCGAAGCAATTTTTATCAAATGCTTGAAACCAGATTAATGTGTTCAGAAAGAATCAGTTATTAGTCTTTCTTTGCCTTGGTAACTGGATGTATTTTTTTCTCTCATCTAATTGCGTAATCTTTGTCTTTAACCTCACCCTCTTTTTATAATCTGTAATTTTGCTTGTCTCTTGTTTCTATGATTTGAGTTCAACTCAGTACATTGTTTACCTAACTTACTAGTCACTATGCATCTAACGCACATCCCATCTTTATTATGCAACTCCCTTACCATTATATGCATACATTTATTTATTATTTTTTTAAACTTGAACTGTCTGTGTAAAAACTATATAAGCGCAATTTTCTGAGCACTGTTTACTAATTGTGAAACATTCTGTCAACTGACAACATGTAAAATTTGCAAGTATGTTAAAACGTTTCTGTACTTAAACCTCAAAATTTATTTAGGCTGTAAGCAGCTGATGAGAAGCCAAAAAAATAAATGATGGTACCATGTTATTCTGCACAAATCACTGTTGTTCTCGCTTTATTCAAATTTATCAAGGGGAGTAAACGCATGAACTTATTATAACGAGTAACTAGTTTAAGAGTACTTAGGAAACAGCTGTCGAGACGCACCAATGACTAGGCATGTTATTTCATCTGAATAAATTTCTCAGTTTCACGCCTTATTTTCCTTCAGTAGATTAATATTCACCAGTAGACAAAGAGTGTCACAGTCAATATGAAGTGCGGATGTTTGTGTTATGGATGGAGTCCTATTTGATAAAACCATCGTAATTTAATTGTTGTCGCAGAAACATTCCACTGACTACAAATATCATAATACAACTCCACACTTCTCTGTCTAGTTCAGTAGAATCTATACTCTGGGTGGAGGGAGGAAACCAGATAAGTACTAATTTCTGCTGTTTTTCGATACCATGGTAACGATTTATTTCTCTACAGAACATTTAAAAGTGAGATTAGTGGTTGTGTATGACGGCCTAATTGTTAGAATCACTTGTCTGTTATCCATTTATTTTCTAGATATAACAACTAAGCAGAACTAATTAGTGCTTCTAATGAATGTAAAATCAATTGTAAAATTCTATGAAAATTTAAATATTTAAGTAAACTTTTTAATGAACAAAATATTTCCATATTAATTCACAAGAAAGATAAATCTATTGCAAGACAATATGGACGGGACAGTTCATCAATTTCCAGAGCTTCGTTTCATTGATCCGAAAGCAAAGCCTATTATTTTCATTATGTCCAAAGATTAGGAAAATTTGTTCAAAAGACACGATAGAGAAAAATTAAATTCATTGCGTGAAACCCTACTAGAGAACGGGTATCCACCAGGATTCAAAGACAAAAGCATGAAAGAAAGGCCACCTTAATCTGTATTTATCAGTTCACTTGCTCGTATGGAGCAAAGTATATAGGCCGTACGAAACGTCAATTTCAGAAACGTAATCTGGAACATTGTCCAGCTTGGTTAGCTAGAGGAGAAAAGAAAAATATAAGCAGCTCCGTCCTCGAACATCTTGTCAACCCTGGACATTGAGCATCTCTACATGAATGCTTCACAGTACTACATAGAGTCCCTCAATATCGAACGAAGAGACTCTGAATATGCCATCTGTACATAGCTGAAACATTGGCTACTCGGGATCTGAAATCGGACCTCTGTATCCAAAAGCGCCACATAGATTTACTCACCCTACCGTGGCCAGAGTAGTAATCTTACTATAACTTTGCTTCTTTTTATTATGTAAGTTTACTGTTATTATTGTCATTACTGTTTTATTATCATTATTATTCTCATCATCTACATTTTATTACCACTCTATTAATGTCAATTAATAACATTGCGTTTTCATGCAGATTTCATAAAAACACTCTATCATCTTTCCACTAGTTCCTATCCACTCTACACAGTCGTATTGATTAGTCATTTTCCCACCCTTATTACATCATGTCAACTTCTACCTCTTTTCTAACTTCCAGTTAGTCATCCCTTCTATGTTGCACCTTGCATTACTTAATGCATTTTGTTAGGACATATTTTACCAGTACCTGACTAGTCTTTTGATTTCTCTGTTAAATATAATTATGACTGTACGGCTTATGGAAATGAATCATCGTAAAGAAAATTTTCTTCGCTGTTGGAGTCTTTTTCTGAACTTTTAAAGTTAGTTTTGAATCAAATTTTTATCTGACGCCAAGTTATTTCTGCCTCCGAAATTGGTGTAAATGAAGTTGTCAACTGTTTTAGGCTAACCTTGTTAATTTAGTAGTAAAGTCCCTGCCACTGGTGCTGATTACGAAAATTTCGAATCCTGGAGAGATTAAAAATTTCGTGAAAGTTGAGGAGAAATTTTACTGATGGG